TAGCCAGACTCATCAAGAAAAAGAGGGAGAGGTCTCAAATACAAATGACACCACAGAAATACCAAGGATCATAAGCAACCAATAAAATGGACAACCTAGAAAAAATGGACAAATTCTTAGGTATAATCTTCCAAGACTGAACATGGAAGAAATAGAAAACACGAATAGACCAATCACAAGTACTGAAATTGAAACTGTGATCTAAAAACTTCCAGCAAACAAAACTTCCAACAAACAAAAGTCCGTGACCAGATGGCTTCACAGGCAAATTCTATCAAACAGTTAGAGAAGAGTTAACACCTATCCTTCTTAGACTATTGCCAAAAATCACAGAGGAAGGAACACTCCCAAATTCATTCTATGAGACCACCATCACTCTGATACCAAAACCAGACAAAGATACCACACAAAAAATTACAGGCCAGTATCACTGCTGAACGTAGACGCAAAACTCCTCAACAGAATACAAGCAAACCAAATCCAACAGTACATTCAAACAATCGTACACCATGATCAAGTGAGATTTAGCCCAGGGATGCAAGGATTTTTCAATATCTGCAAATCAGTCATTGTGATACATTACATCAACAAATTGAAGAATAAAAACCATATGCTCATCTCAGTAGTTGCAGGAAAAGGTTTGGACAAAATTCAACACCAATTTATGATAAAAACTCTCCAGAAAGTTGTAATAGAGGGAACATATTTCAACATAATAAAGGCCATGTATGACAAACGTACAGCTAACATCATACTCAGTGGTGAAAAGGTGAAAGCATTTCCTCTAAAATCAGGAATAAGACAAAGATGTCCACCCTTGCCACTTCTATTCAACATAGTTTTGGAAGTCCTAGCCACGGTGATCAGAGAAGAAAAAGAAATAAAGGGAATCCAAATTGGAAAAGAAGAAATAAAGTTCATTGTTGGCAGATGATATGATACTATACATAGAAAATCCTAAAGATGCTACCAGAAAACTACTAGAGTTCATCAATGAATTTGGTAAAGTTGCAGGATGCAAAATTAATACACAGAAATCTCTTGCATGTCTATACACTAACAAGGAAAGACCAGAAAGAGAAATTACAGAAACAATCCTATTTACCATTGCATCAAAAAGTGTAAAATACCTAGGAATAAACCTATCTAAGGAGGCAAAAGACCTATACTCCAAAAACTATAAGACAGTGAAGAAAGAAATCAAAGATGACACAGACAGACAGAAAGATATACCATGTTCTTGGATTGGGAAAATCGGTATTGTCAAAATGACTATACTACCCAAGGCGATCTACAGATTCATTGCAATCCCTATCAAATTACCAATGGCATTTTTCACAGAAGTAGAACAAAAAAATCTTAAAATTTGTATGGAGACACAAAAGACCCCAAATAGCCAAAGCAATCTTGAGAAAGAAAGACAGAGATGGAGGAATCAGGCTCCATGACTTCTGACTATACGACAAAGCTACAGTAATCAAAACGGTATGGGGACTTCCCTGCTATCGCAGTGGTTAAGAATCCGCCTGCCAATGCAGGGGACATGGGTTTGAGCCCTGGTCCGGGAGGATCCCACATGCCACAGAGCAGCTGGGCCTGTGCGCCACAACTACTGATCCTGTGCTCCAGAGCCCGTGAGCCACAACTGCTGAGCCCGTGTGCCACAACTATTGAAGCCCGTGTGCCTGGAGCCCGTCCTCCACAGCAGGAAAAGCCACCTCAATGAGAAACCTGCATGCAGCAACGAAGACCCAACACAGCCAAAAATAAATAATAAATAAACTAAAAAATATATATATAAATGTTACCATTAAAAAAACAGTATGGTATTGGCACAAAAACAGAAATATAGATCAGTGGAACAGGATGGAAATTCTGTTAAATGTTAAATGTTTATCTTGGTGGGGAGAAGGGGTGGAGTGCTTGGGGAGATCAGTGGAAAAGGGAGGACTGTCCATTAGTTGACCTAAAAAAGCCTGTCTGATCATATCTATTCATTATCTGTAAAATTATGTAAATGTATATGTTTAAAGATATGAAGTAAATATTCAAAATTGACCTATATTTTCTCCAAAAGGGATGCAGATTTTGCAAATACCTGAACATGTCCATGTGAAGTCTGTAGAAATTCTTAGAAACAAAAGAAGCATAGTAGAAAGCCACAAAACTGTTTGAACTACTGGGAAACTTATTTACCTGTAAACCTGGGGTGGTCTCTGTGGTTGTTTGGTGTGGCTCTTCAGGGACCTTTGCACTCCTTTGATTTGTCGTCCTTGGTGTTGGCTTTGTGTTTAGGCTCATAGCGTGATGGCCGAAGTAAAATCCAAACATAGCAAAGTCCAGAGGAAGAAGGATGGTCTCTTTGGATGTCTGTCTGTCATAGGCTGGGTTTCTTGGAAGCATTTTCTGAGATGGAGTTTGGGGTACAAGTTAATTATAACATCTGTGAGAGGAAGGGGCAGGAAGCAGAACTGGGCAAAGGAAGAAGTTGAGCTTCAATGCAGGCCTGACAAAGGAGAGTTCTGGAGTAAGGATTGCCTGCCAGAGTTGTCCCATGTTAGACTGAAAAATGCCCAGCCTTTATACCCGCTCTGTGTGGGCTGTGCTGGGAAGGGCATGACCTGGGGCAAGGCAGCTCCAATGGAACTGACAGCTGGATGCTGTCTGTTGACCACACTCATTTCTGAAGCTGGCAACAAGTCTTTTCTTGAAGAGGAGATCTAGGTGTCGTAGCTAGGAATGAGGAAATATTTCCTAGAAACCCTCCATCAGACTTCCCCTCACATCTAAGATTAGATTACATGCTGTGACAGAAGTAGTAGTCTTCTCTTCTCCAGTAGAGTCCTGATTTTTCACTGAGTATATGGTCATCAGGGATAATGGCTATATTTCTCAGCCTCCCTGTACATTTAGGTATGTCTAATTTTTGGCTAGGGGGTAAGTTGAATTGTCATGTTTGACTTAAAGGGCAGGGGTATGTACATTGTTTTCTTTCAACTCCTTCCTGCTGTGTAGAATATGGAAATAATAACTGGAGTTTGTGCAGCCATCTTGGATTATGAGGTGGAAGCACATGTTGAGGATGACAGAGCAACAAGATAGCAGAACATTAATTAGCTCCCTGATGATCATAGAAATGCTATATGTGCTCCAGGTTGCTTATGTTTGGGCTTTATATCTTTTTTTTTTTCAGTACGCGGGCCTCCCACTGTTGTGGCTTCTCCCATTGCGGAGCACAGGCTCCGGACGCTCATGCCCAGCAGTCATGGCTCACGGGCCTAGCCGCTCTGCGGCATGTGGGATCTTCCCGGACCAGGGCACGAACCCGTGTCCCCTGCATCGGCAGGCAGACTCTCAACCACTGCGCCACCAGGGAAGCCCAGGGCTTTATATGTTGGTTAAAGCCATTACTATTTAGGTTTTCTGTCAGTTGCATTAGAACTTAATCTTAACTAATACACGTTTCTAATTGGCAAGGGGCACAGGAAACCATGATTGGCTTAGACTAGTATTTTGGGAATGGAATGGATGTTGGGGAGTAAGACACAGAGACATTTATATCAGGCAAGTACAGCAGAGAGAGAGAGAATGCAAAGAAGTCGAGAGATTTGCAGGGGATGATAATTGTGATGGACCCTGGAATCATACCTAGGTAAGTGAGAAAGTGAAATGTGTGAGTGATGAACATAAAGAAGTGATAGTTGTGTGGATTGGAGGTCGGGGCTGAAGATTCATTGGAGAGGGGGAACTAGGCTAAATGAAGTAGAGAGAGCAGAGATGGTGGTCAGAGTGCAGGTCGCTTTAAATGGGGATTTTATGGTAGAGCTTTCACTCCTAACAGCAGGGCTGAAAAGAGTGGGTAACTAAAGTGGGGTAGAGGAAAAAATTGTTAATGGTGAAGTTAAGAAATCGAGAGGCTGGGCTTTGGATGGAACATCTTGGATGTGGCTGAATGGAAGGCAGTGAGCTAGATGCTGATATCTGGAGTGGGTGGAGAGGAGTAATTGGGATGTCAGTAGGTAACTCAGAAAGTAAGGGAGGCAGATCCAGAAGAGAGCGTTTGTTTCAGAAAGGCTGACATTGTTGATGGAAGAGGGAGGAAAAGTGATCTGGAAACAGCAAAGAGGAAAGAAATAGCATCGTTAAATATTAAAAATTTCTACATTTCTAGTATATATTTCTACAATATATACTAGACATAAACTGAGAAAATATGTTTATAGTACATTTACCATACAAATGGGAGCTTCTTAATATAAATAGAGCTCTTAAACATTATTCTGAAAAAGATAACTTGGTAGCAAAGTGAGTAAACAATATTGAGTCTTAATTTGCAAAGGAGAAAATGCAAATGACCAAAACACATGAGAATCTTCATACATTAGGGTTAGTACTAGTAAAAATATTAATGAGATACTAAGATGTGCCTGTCATATTGGCAAGACCTAAAAATATTGATAAACTTCAAGCTTGGCATGTGTGTGGGAAGTCAGGTGCTGATGTGCACTGCTCACAGAGTGTGGTAGATTGCCACTTCAGAAGAAGCAACTAAATGGCTGTGGTGGGTCTGTTGTGTGTTGTGGATTGATGTGCTTGCGCATTATAGTTATGCTGGCCACAGCATTATTTATTGCATTTACACATTTTACTTGTAATGGTAACTGTGTGGCCTTGTTTTTTAAAAACCAACTGATATTTATAACTAACTTCTTGTGGCCATTTGTATGGAAACAAAGTGTGATTTTCCCATCTCAACTAGAAAGATGTCTGTTTTTGTTCATTCCTGTTGTTTTTAATGTATTTGTATCCCCTTTTCTTAAGTATATGGCATGAATTTGTTTCATCCAAATTTGTGTAATCTGCGTATAACTATCCAGTCTTTTTCTTCTGGTCATAGTATGCATCAGTGTGCCCACTTGGATTGTATTGAGAATTAAGAAAGATATTATTAATATATGAAATTTTGATGCATTTAAATTTTTTTATTTTTTGAATTACAGACTAACTGGATCTTCTGGGTTTATAACAGATGGACCTGGAAATTATAAATATAAAACAAAGTGCACATGGCTCATTGAAGGACAGTAAGTAGTAATGGCTAATTTAATTTTTTTTTTCAGGATAGAACTCATTGTGAGATTACTTTTCCAACATGTAAAATTAACAATCTGTGGCAACTTAAAATATTTTTTATTTGGTAACCTTTACTTTGACAAGTGAATTTGATTTTCTTATTTTTCTTAATCTTCAATGTTAATTGAAAAAAACTTCTGTGTTGATTTGCAAATGAATTATACACCAGAAATTTGTATATTTTCAGTTGTAATAGTTAAAAAACTGTTACAATATTATGGTTGAGGTATATGAAGATAATTAGACTTCACTTGAATATGTAGTAGGGAAGGGAAGAGATTTTAATAGGCCTATTTATTTATTTATTTACTACTTTTAGTGATTTAACATATGGAAGTTTATTTCTTCCTCACATAACAGTTCCAAGGCAGGTGTTCCTGGTCAGCAGGCAGCTTTCTTCCCATTGGTAGGACCCAGGCTCTGCCATTCATTCATTAGCTTCACTGTTGGCTAACTGCAGCCATCAGGAGGGGAAGGAGGAAGTACAGAGAAAGCAGACCTGCTTCTTAAAAGCTTCTTGCAGAAAGTGTCACATGCATTCACTCGCATTGCAACCATTAAAAACCCTTTAAAATAATTGTGGCCAGTCTTAGAAGACTGGACCAAAACTGGACAAGTGGTAATTTCTTAAAACTAAATTGCAGTGTGGAATCTGAAATGATCCTTAATGAACTTTTAGAACTTGTTAAGTTAAAACTGGTTTTCTATGGGACTTCCCTGGCCGTCCAATGGTTAAGACTCCACGCTTCCACTGCAGGGGGCATGGGTTCGATTCCTGGTCAGGGAACTAAGATCCCACATGCCGCGTGGCATGGCCAAAAATTGAAAAAAAATTTTTAATTGGTTTTCTTGTACTTTAAATAGATCTTTAACCCATGCATGATTTTGTAACATTTGGAAAATATTGGTTCACTGAATTATGCAGGTCTTCCAAGTGTCGATATATTTCATTATATGAAATTTAAAACATCACCTTAGTTAAAAATCACCATCAATCTCATCAGAAAATTTTAAGTATTGGGAAGTTGTATCTGGGTGGTAGGTACAAATTTTCCAAAACTCATTATTGCTTGAAAGCTTATATTTTCTTTGGCAACAAATACAGGCTTGCTTTGTTCATTTTCAAGAAAATATCTACCAGATATCCAAGTCTAAATAACCATAGTTTTTACCTCTCGGACCTCCTAAAAGGGCTTCAGGGACCCTGGCATTGTGTGGACCATACTCTGAGAACTGCTGCTGTAAGGAGCTGTCTGCCCTTGCCCTTTCTACCAGTTCACTCCCATCTGATGTCCTTCTCCACTGTTGCTCTGAGTGTGCTGTCAGTGGTTGCTCCACCTTAGCCTAAGCGTAAAACTAAGCAAAAAACTTCAAATCCTCCGTTTCCTTATCCACATATTCAGCCTGTCAGTAAGTTCTATCAGTATTCCCCTCTAGAATATCTCCCCAGTCCTCTTCATCTTCAACTCTACAGTTATTTTAAGAACCACCAACCATCCTCTCTTTCCTGGGCCACTGTAATAGCCTTGAAATTGGCCTCCAGTTTTTACCTTTGCCCCTTGCGCACCTCTCACTCACTTCTTATCTTATTCCTTCTGTTTGCTATGTTTCAGACATGCTGATTTTCTTCATGTTGCTTGGACACATCAACTTCTAAAGTCTAAGACTTTAAGACTGTTCTTCTCTCTGCCTGAAACATTGTCCCCCCAGGCTTTTCACATGGCTTATCTCTTGCCGTTCTAATCTTTTCCAAAACTTTCTGGGGTATCTCCCCACCACCTGTTGTACTACTACATCACATTCCTTTAATTTCTTCCCAGTATTCATCACCATGTGAGTTAACTTGTTTATGTATTTATTTAATTGTTTGGTTAGAGATTTTAGTTAGACAAGAAGTATGGGGTAGATGAAAGGTTCAGGCTGGAGACATATAGTTGGGAATCACCAGGATATAGATGGTGTTGATATTACCAAGAACTTTTGGAGTAGAGTCTTTGGCCTAAAGCCAGGTTGGAGAGTGAAAAGGTGAGTGGGATGTGAGGAAATGGAGAAAACCGAAGTCTTATGTGGAGTTTCAGAGGAGAAAGGGATAGGTCTGATAGTAGCTGGAAGGAGAGTTGGGATTTAAAGTTTTTTGTGTTTTGTTGTTTTTTGTAAAATATGTGATACTTAAAGAGATTTAAGTGTGGACTTGGAAGTTTCAGATGAGAGGGAGATGTTAAATATTTAAGAGATGGAAGGAAAAGTAGGTAGATGTATCTATTTTTAGAAAGTGGGAATTTGAGAAATTTTTGTCTGAGTGCTGAGCATAGCAGGGAGGTGGGACTGGGTGGTCTGAAATAGAAATTGAGAACTAGTAGTAGGACTGCTGGCAGAATCGAAGCACCAGTACTGGAACCAGCCTACCCAATGTTGTGACTTTCTCCAGCATGGCTTGGTTTTCTCTAGACCAGGGTTTCTTCCAGGGAGTTCCATGAAAAGGCAGAGGGGCAGGCGAGTTTAGAGGATTGGCAGGTGTGTTTGTAAAATGATGTAGTATGAAATCTTAAGTTGAATAAGAAAGGCTGATGGATTGGTAAAGAATGGCCACTGTATAGACTATAAGGCCCAAAGATGCATAGACCATGTCTATTTTGTTTACCATTGCATATTTAGCGGTCTCTTGCACATAGAAAGTACTAAGGAAATCTTTGACAAGTGAAGGAGTACTGATTACATACTATTAATTTCTTCTTTATATATAAATTCTTTAAAAATCTATATTTTTTCTCAAATGTTTTATAGTGATTATGATTATTATAAATTACTTTTTTCTGTTCTTTTCAGGCCAAATAGAATAATGAGACTTCGTTTCAATCATTTTGCTACAGAGTGTAGTTGGGACCATTTATATGTTTATGATGGGGACTCAATTTACGCACCCCTAGTTGCTGCCTTTAGGTAAGCTCAGTCATATAAATACTGGTTAACCATTGTTTGATTTCTGAATTCATGTATCTCCTAGATTGTATTCTTACTGGATTCACCTTTTTTATCACTTAAAACATTTACTTCATGGAAAGAGTACTAGTTATGGAGTCCTATCACTTGTGTGCCAGTCCTAACTTGGTTTCCTGTAGCTTCTGGGTGAGTTTTTGGGCAGAGTACTTGACCTTTCTTTTTAGTTTCCTTATCTATAAAGTTGTGATAGTAGTATCAAATTTACCTACTTCTTGTGGTGGTGGTGAAGTTTACATCTAAAAATGTTTTGTGAGTAATATATCGAATATATTATTTCTGTGAAAAATTAAATCAGGAACCATGTTCATCTTGATCCTTGTTGTGTTCTTCATTGCATAGGCATTCAGGAGTTCTTTGTTGAATTCAGATATAGCTCTGTGTGTGTGTGGGTGGGTGTGTAATGTGTAATTATGTATATACCTTAATATGGGTGAGGGAAAAGTTTTGGAAGAGTATACATAAAATGAACAGTGGTTACCTGTGGAGAATGAGGAACATTCCAGTTACTTGTTGTGATTTTTTTTTCTACAGTATATTCTGTGTTTGTTGTTAAACAGCTTAACACCAAATACATGGGGTGCTCTGAATTGTTTTGACATTTTAGTAAATAATAAATAATACTTTTATTATTATTAAGTAAATAATAAATATAAATAATAAATAAATAATACTTTTTTATTTATTAGTGAATAATAGTAAATAATAAATAAATAAATAATACTTTTATTATAGTAAATAATACTTTTATTATTATTAAGTAGCTGTGTTGTTTATTATATTTTTGACCACATGCAAATTCAAAACTGTTCTATTTTTCTTCCTTTTACTTGATAGAGGATTTTTAAAATATATTTTTTCTAAAATGCATATCCTTAGAGAGTCATAGTTGTCAGCTGACTTTCTGGATTTCTTTCCCTCAAATATTTGATTTCCCTGACTTTAAAAGAAATCAATTTAACAAATATTTTTTGTATTCCTCACATGGGGCTGGTTGATGTCTCTTGTAGGTGAGGAGATAACAGAGAGTGAACAGAACATGAGGAGGCAAAGGACAGCTGAGATCAGGGGACTAATGTGCCCTTGTATTTCTCCACTCCCTTTGGCTTAGAAATCTCTGCAACATGTCTTTGAACTGAGAACCAAGACCATTTTCTGGGTTTTAGAGATTCACTTAGAGGGCCAAAGAACAGGGTGGATAGGCCATGCTAAGCATCAAAATGTCATTTGCTACATCTTGGGCATATACATCTTTATGCCAGAATTTGACTCATACCTTGTCTTATAGCAAGAGGCACCCTAAACTTTAACACAGCACAAAAACTATCTGTAGTATGATGTTATCATGATAATAGTACTTGTTGGAGGTTTACTTGATACTGCATTTGTTAATCAAAACTCATGGAGTCCCCTCTTTATGTGCCAGGCACTTTGAATCAGCTTGCCAATAGCGCTGTGGGAACATCTGCCAAGAGGGTATGCATAACCCTGTAGTTCACCCAGACTGTGTATTTAATGAGCAGACATGTGAACCAACAGCAACCACAAAACAAGCAGAAGGGTATAACTGTTTTACTCAGTGACTCTTGAGAGAAGCCACAGTATAAGTACAGACAAAGGAGGATTTTTAAGCTTCTATAAAAAAGTTTATTTACTGAAATGTATAAATTAATGCATTGATTGTGTTAAAATTTAACCTATGACATAATTGAGTGTGCATTTTCTAAAATCATAGTGAGATAATGTATGTTTAATAATTGAAATTTACCTGAAGCACAGAACCCCTGAAGCACTGATGTGCAGAAGAATTTGAAAATAACTGTTTAGGTCATAAGGCAGTGTCACAAGATGGGGAGCTGAGGAGTGCTGTTGGGTCAGGAGGACTTTGGATAGAGGAATCAACCCAGTGGTGATGTGCTGGGGGCCCAGAGTGGAGTGAGCCTGGCGGCAGATAGTTCAGCCAAATAAAGAAAAAGGAAGCCACACAGGATTCAGAAGATTTGGACTTTTAATCTGCGTTCTGCCCAAGGCTCTGCATGAGTCTGAATAGTTCATTTAAGTACTCTAGTCCTCATCTTCTGAAGCCTAAAATGAAGGTGTTGTACTGTGTTTTCTCTGGGTGTATTGCAGTCCATGAAGTTTAATTTGACTCTGAACTGGTTGATCACATTATCTTTTATATGCTGAAATTCTGAATAAAATTTGTTTAACAAACAGAGTTCCATTACTGGACAAATTTGAGAACCACTAGAGCAAGTCTCTTCCAGCTGCACTACATTATGACTTTGTGGTGCATTCACTTCAACAAATGCATAAGTGCAGCACCTTTGTGGAGTACCTGCTCGCTCTGCTCAGGTCTGTTGGTAGGGCGATGCAGAGGTGGTAGTGGTGATAGAGCAGGGAGAATAGTTTTCCTCTCTGAGGAAATTCTTATTCCTTCTAGAGGTTTTTGTTGTTGTTATTTTTAAGAAAGTCAAATACTGGTGAGGCATTTGTTTAGGCTGTGATGCAGAGCTGTTAGAGGAAGTCTTGTGAAAGCGGGAGTCAGCCTGTCCAGCACCCAATGGAAATCGTGGTCAGTTTGTGGCAGGTAATCAAAGGCAGGCACCTCTTTTGTGGCTGTGAACCCTCCTTCACCACTCAGAAGTATAGATGCTGTTTGGACCCATCCCCAGGCTCCTAACCCTGACTTTAAAAATCTGGCTTACTGGGCTTCCCTGGTGGCGCAGTGGTTGAGAGTCCGCCTGCCAATGCAGGGGACACGGGTTCGCGCCCCGGTCTGGGAAGATCTCACGTGCCGCAGAGCGGCTGGGCCCATGAGCCGTGGCCACTGAGCCTGCACGTCTGGAGCCTGTGCTCCGCAACGGGAGAGGCCACAACAGTGAGAGGCCCGCGGACCGCCAAAAAAAAAAAAAAAAAAAAAAAAAATCTGGCTTACCTTCCACATCTGCCTGTCCTTGCGTGTATAGATTTGCAAGGAGAGAGGTGTGCCAAACTGAGGATTTGCCAACTATGTAAACTTACATAGTGTAGTTGGCAAAGTCAGACTGTGCCCCAGGTGTGTTCCGAGAGCCCATATCTGTCTGGGACAGTTATGTTGAATTAAGACAGTATCTTTAGTTCAGCGATTTTCAGAATTGGTTCTAAACAATGGTACTCTGTGTTTACAATATAAGATTATGAAGAACCCCAGGGCAAGCAGTTCTTGATTTTCTGAAGTTGAACAGCTGGCTGCAGCCTAAGCTGAGCCTGCATTTATTTACCTGGCTAGGGGCAGGGGACAGGATGGTGGAGGCAGCTCAGGGTGACAGTTGAACGGCAAGCTTGCAGCATCACTTTCTCACCCACATACTTTCTATTGCCTTGCACACTGGGTTGAGGTTTATATTCATTTATTCTGTACAAAGTTTATTTTTGTCATAAACCAGTTGTTTTATTTTCACACTGGGAAAAAGCACATTCTGAAGCTGTCACAAGTTTTTGTAGTGAAAAGAAGCAAATGCCTAAGTCTCTCTGACAGTAGGGAAGCTGATCCCCTTTCTCCAGCAACGTGGCCATCTAGTGCAGGTGGCCCTCCCACTCCTTCTGACTCTCCCTCCTTCTCCCTCCACCCATTCTGCCATTTGTTCTATACATTTAAATGTCCCCACCATATAAATAATAAATACCATTAGCCATCTCTTATTGAGCACCTACTAATGTGAGATGCTATTTAAGCCCTTCACATGCTTTAACAGTTTGATTCTCATTACATTGCTGTGAGGTAGATAGGATTTCTTTCATTGTGCTTTTGAGGAAGCTAAGGCTCAGAGATGTCAGTGACATGCACAGGCTTGTGGAACAAGAATCGGAGCTCACATCTCTGACCCTGAAGCTCATGCTAAGATAACAAAGAGTGTCCTACATGTGACTGAATCCCCCAGTCCTTTACTGTGCTAGTATTTCTTACGGCAAGATTGCTTTTGACATACGTGTTTCTAGGTGGCCCTGCTCTTGCAAGTACTTACCCCTCAGCATTTTAGGGGATTCTGGTATATAAAACTGATGAAAGCATGATGATGGTTGAAACCTTCATTTAAGTCTGTGATCAAATGTCATTTCTTCCAAGAGTCCTTCCCTAAATGCCCTTTCTAAAGTAGCACTTTCTGTTCTTTTACTCTGTTTTATTTCCCTTCCTAGTATTTACCTCTACCTGGCATTATATATACACACCTGTGGGCCAGGGGCTGGGGGTTTGTATCTAGGCTTATTCTTTCTCTGGCATGAACTCCAGTAAGGGCAGAGATGTTTTCACTGTTGTATTCCTGGTACCTAGAACAGTGCCTCACTTGTAGTAAGTACTTAGTATTTGTTAGTTGAATGCATAGTAGAAAATGCTTCACCGTTTTGCAACCCCTAGTTCTGCCTGCATATTAAAAACTTGTTGAATGAAAATCCCATCCCTTCTTCCTCCTCACACCCTGCTTAATATGCTCTTCCACTCATTTTTATATGCCCTTGTATAAATACACATAAATGTACACATATACTAGGCCCATCGTCTTGCAGCTTGTTTTTTTTCCTACTCATCAGAATGCCTTGATGAGCGCCTTGTCAGTCCTGCACACCTAACGTATGTAATGACTCATTCATCCAGCTCCCAGATGACCATTTAGGTGGTTTTCAACCTGTTCTCATTCTGAATAGTGCTGCGGTGAGGATTCTTATATATTTGTATATGTGAGCAAGTGTTTCTTCTACTAAGAAATAGAATTGCTATGTCATAATAAATGAACATTTGAGATAGTCATCAGCCCAAAAGTATGGGCTTTAGGAAAGAAAAGAGGCCCGTGTGGCTGGGGTTGAGCAAGTGAAAGGAAGAGAGTACAGATCTTCCTTGGCTTATGATGGGGTTATGTCCTGATAAACCCATTGTATGTTGAAAATATTGTAAGTTGAAATGCATTTAATACACCTCACCTACCGAACATCATATAGCTTAGCCTAGCCCACCTTAAATGTGCTCAGAACACTCACATTAGCCTACAGTTAGGCAAAGTCATCTAACACAAAGCCTATTTTATAATGTTGAATATCTCATGTAATTTTGAATACTGTACTGAAAGTGAAAAACAGAAAGGTTGTCTGTGTACAGAGTGGTTGTACATGTATTGGTTGTTTACCCTTGTGATCGTGTGGCTGACTGGGAGCTACAGCTTTTTGCTGGTGCCCGGCCTCATGAGAGAGTATCAACAGCATATCGCTAGCCTGGGAAAAGGTCAAAATTCTAAGTACAGTTTCTACTGAATGCGTATCCCTTTTGCACCATTGTAAAGTCAAAAAATTGTAGGTCAAAAAATTGTAAGTCGAACCATTGTAAGTCGGGGACCATCTGTAATAGATGAGACGTTTGTTCATCGGATGGGATTGTGTGTGTGGAACAGATTGCACAGGACCTGGTAAGGAGTTAGGCTTTAACTGAATGAGATGATGGTGGTACTGAACAATAACTGGGCAAAAGATAGGAGCATATGAAGAAAAGCAAAAGACGCAAGTAAACATAGGAAAAATGATTAACCTCAGGAGTATAAGAGAAGCTCAAAACCACAGGTTAAAAAAATCACTTTCACATATTAAATTAGCAAAACTAAAGTAGGACTGGTAGTTCTCCTTGTTGGCGGGGTTAGGTGGGGTGGGCCCTTTCATTCTCTATTGGTGGGATTTCAAGTCACCATCTCTCTTCTGGAAAGCAAATTGGTGTATGGATTAAGAGCCTTAAAGCCATCATTTAGACCCTTTGATTCGGTAATTCCTTCTCTTTGTAGGCACCCAACGGATACTATTGTGGGCTGAGTTCTGAGTAAGGTTCTAAAAGTTCTGAGGGAGCTCTTAGAGACATAGAAATGCTTATGGTATATTACTTGTAAAATAGAATATGATATGTGACATGGTATCAATTAAACAAAGAAAGTACATCAGAATGCTAATAGTATTGGGATGATGGATGTTTGTATATCAAACTTTTATTTCTGTTTTTACTTTTCATGTCTTTCAATGGTATATGTTTGGTATCCATCAACTCATAACGTTTGTTACTTTCTGTGATTGTGGAGGTTTACTCAGTTTTTCGAAGGAGTATTATAAAATGTTTTACTTAAAAAAAAAAGAATAGGGTCATCGGTTTCAAATCTCATTTAAAATATAACCTAGGGGCTTCCCTGGTGGCGCACTGGTTGAGAGTCCTCCTGCCAATGCAGGGGACACGGGTTCGTGCCCGGGTCCAGGAAGATCCCACATGCCGCGGAGCGGCTGGGCCCGTGAGCCATGGCCACTGAGCCTGCGCATCTGGAGCCTGTGCTCCACAACGGGAGAGGCCACATATATATATATATTATATATTATATATATATATGTATATATATAATATATATATATATATTATATATATATATAACCTAGAATAGAGAAGAGCTTAGCAAAAGATTCAGATCTGTTCCTGTGCATTTATCACAGGAATTTGGCCCTCTTCCTAGAAGTGGCTTTTTGAATTACAAGGGTGAAATCCAGTTGAATTTGTGTTCTGTCACCATGTGATGTGTCTGTGATTATGCTTGCCTTTATAAGACATGTGTTTTCATTTCAGTGGCCTCATTGTTCCTGAGAGAGATGGCAACGAGACTGTCCCAGAGGTCGTTGCCACATCAGGTTATGCCCTGCTGCATTTTTTTAGTGATGCTGCTTATAATTTGACTGGATTTAATATCACTTACAAGTAAGATATTTAAGTCTAATATTTGTGATTTTTTTCAGAAGACTGTATACTTTGTTTTAACAACATTATGCATTATGCTAAGCAGTTTGCATGAAAATTCTCATTTAAAGTTCTTTTAAAAACTCAGTTACAGCCACTGTTTTTCTACTTCTTTTATAAATGAGGCAAGTGGCAGGAAAAGGTAAAGTAAATTGTCAAAGCAGTGGGACCAGAGTTGCAACCCAGATCTTGCTGCTGTTGAGCGTCTCCTGGAAAAGAAGGGCATTATCCATTCCTGCCAATGGATAAAAACTTTGGAGGAGTTTGCTAAGTACAGTTTAACAAATATTAGTAGTTTTCATGTACTCAGTAGTTGGCCCATTGATGACAACTTAGTTGAGGTTACAAAGGAAATGTAGACAGACTCTGGGCAGCTTTTGGAATTTGTTGCAGTAGGAGAGAAGCTAACTTCTGTCTTTTCCTTTTTTTCCTAAGAAATGTTTATTTTCAGAAGTAGTTAAATTCATAAAATGCCATAAGCAGGGGGTCTGTGATAAAGAACTTCTGTGGCCCACAAAACCTAAAATATATATTATCTGGCCTTTTACACAATACGTTTGACAACTCCTGGTATAGCTGATAACCCCCATGTGTAACCTTTATACTGGGTTCTTTTTCTTGCCCATTTTCTCAGGATCTCAGTAGTCTTTCAACCCTATTTAAAGCCATCTTTATCTTGATTGGTATGGTGATTCAGTTTTTCAGGTACCCAAGGTTTGTGACTTAGCAGCCTGGGCAGCTCATCACAAGCCTGGGTTTGAAAAGTAGGCATATGCATTTATTATATTACATTATAACATAGATTATAAAAATACTATATATACATACTTATAAAATTTTATTTTAAATGTATCGTGAAATGACATTAGGGTGTAGGCGTGAATGTTAATTAGCTTATTTTGTAACTGATTCCTGATTTTCTGGCATGCTTTACTACAAAATTCCTTTTTAGTTTTCTTTACACTCTTACAGTATCTTGCTAATGCTGTTATCCCCCCTTTTTAAAATCAGAATTATGTCTTTTCAAAGTGTTGTCAATATCATTGTCACGTTACTATGCAACACTTTATGGTTAAACTCATGTATTAAGTTAAACTACCCCTCCCTTTTCTTGCATCTGAGATGGGTAGATAAACTTGCTAAGGAATTTAATACACACCAATCTGAGCAATAATCTTAAGCAAATTCTGTAAACTTTTAGAGACTATCCAGAGGAATGAGGATGGTAGTGTATTGTTTGCAATTTGTTTTATCCTTTTCTTCTCCAGACTTGCTAGCATGCATTTGGCAATTTTATAATGCTCATCATTTGTGGGCTACCAAGAATTAGGATAGTCATCCTGTCCTTAAGGAGCTAAGCCTGGATATTTTGTAAGAATCTCTTCTCTTCTTGTAATCTCTTTAACTGTTTCTTCTTATGAGAATCCAACAGGTTTAATTTGATTTTATTACTTGCCCTAGTTCTGCAGGGTTGAGTGACCCCATTTAGGCTAAATGGTAAGTACTGCAATTACGCTTGTGAATGAACTGGCTAGACAGTGAGATTTCTTAAGCCTTGTGTAGTAGGAAGTTCTGCTAAGTTAATCAAAATGTTGCTTTGTGTTGATTTAATTTCCTCCCACTATTTTTATAGTTTTGACATGTGTCCGAATAATTGCTCAGGCCGAGGAGAATGTAAGATCAGTAATAGCAGCAACACTGTTCAATGTGAATGTTATGAAAACTGGAAAGGTGAAGCATGTGACATCCCTCACTGTGTAAATAACTGTGGTTTTCCTCATCGAGGCATCTGCAATTCAGGTGATGTCAGAGGATGCTCCTGCTTCTCAGAGTGGCAGGGTAGGAACTTCTTTCTTTCTTTTTTTTTTCTTTCAATTTATAGAATGTTTCTAGTTTAATAAGTTATAGATTGACTTTATTCCTAATATCTGTACCATTTATGTTAATCAAATATCAGGAAGCGTTTAAATTTTCATATCTCTTTATTCAGCTTCTTACAAATCTTTGAGTTCATAGATGTATGGTTGTGGTCTCTAGAGATGTGGAGCAGTTTAACAGTCTTTGCAGTTCATTCATGAATTTAGAGAACTTGGTCTCAGCCATAAGACATAGAGAACCAAGCTGGGAGGTGGAACAAGAGCTGACAATAATAGTCTCTCCACAGAAACTTTCAATAAATTCAGAGAAAATTGGGCTTGATTATACAGTAGAATCCTAAAGCAGTCAGTTATTGGAATTATCTGCAGGTACAGATTGTTAAAGAAGCCCTTTAGCAAATTCTTCAAGGGGTATCATAACAGCTGTTACTGATTTAGTTTTTTTGGTTTTTTTTTTTTAATACATTTACCCCTTTCTCGAGCACATTTATTTTGAATTTCCAGAAATGTGCTTGTTCAGATGCTTTAGTTTGTTCGGTTTGGCTGACATTGAGCAGTTAAATAATTGAAGTATTTGACTACCTACCACTTTGCAAATGTTGGAGCAGAAGCCAAACCTCTCAAAAAAGGAGTTTCTTGGTTTTGGAAATGGGTAGTTTGTAATACTCCCAGGACTAGTCTTTACATTTTAGCTCTAAAGTTTTTTTTTGTTTTTTTTAAATTTTATTTATTTTTGGCTGCATTGGGTCTTTCTGGCTGTGTGTGAACTTTCTCTAGTTGAGACAAGTAGGAGCTACTCTTTGTTGCGTTACGCAGGCTTCTCATTGCAGTGGCTTCTCTTATTGCGGAGCACAGGCACTAGGTGCGTGGGCTCAGTAGTTGTGGCGCACGAGCTTAGTTGCTCTGCGGCACGTGGGATCCTCCCGGGCCAGGGATCGAACCCATGTCCCCTGCATTGGCAGGCAGATTCTTAACCACTGCACCACCAGGGAAGTCCCTAAAGTTTTTCATTTGAATTAATAATTCCTTTGTACACTC